GAATCAATCCACCTCATAGAGGGTCTTCCCCTCCTGCACTGTCCCTCCACCCTCCCAGGCATGACGTCCCTCTCCAAGGACCGGTCTCTCCTCACAACACATCCAAAGTATGTTAGACAGAGCCTCAGAATCCTGCCTTCAAGGAACCACCCATTTTAACCCTTTCCAGGACGAATCTGTTTGTTTTCCTAGCAGTCCATGGTACCCTCAATACTCTTCTCCAGCACCACAGCTCAAAGGCATCAATTCTCCTTCTATCCTCCTTGGTCATTGTCCAACTCTCTGATGCATAACAAGTGATTGTGAAGACCATGGCCTGTATCAAACGCACCTTAGTCTCCAGAGAGACACCAATGCTCTTCAGTACTTTGGAGAGGTCCCTAACAGCAGACTTTCCCATGGCAATGCGCCTTTTAATTTCCTGGCTAATGGTGCCAAGAGTGTTGACTGTGGAGCCAAGCAAACTAAAGCTGTGAACAATCTCAATCTCTTCACCATCCATCCTGATGCTGCCAATTGGCCCAGTGGTGAGAATCTTTGTCTTCTTGACATTGAGCCTCAATCCATATTGGAGGCTACAGTAAAGACTCAATATACTGAGTCAAAAATTCAGGGGTTAGGACAGTGGCAGCTCTCTCAGAAGGATGGGATTCTGGTGGCCACCATCTAGTGGGCACTTAAATGAGCCACACATATGATGAGCAGTTCTCATTCACAACCTCGGTACCCACACCCAGGGGGGAGAGTATTTGGTACATACATGTACAGACACAGGCAGGTGTGTGTACACACACACACACAAACACACATATGCGTGCAAATACCAGCTTACTAATGGAGGAAATGAAGCTCAGAGACATTAAAGAACTGGGATTCCAAAACCCTGGGGAGCTGCAGAGAATACCAGCCACAACTCCACCAGGGAACAGAGATAGACTTGTGCTCAAGCCTGGGAGCCACACTCACGTGCCAGGTACAGCCCAGCCCAGCACCCAGAGACTGGCTCTCAGGGCAGGTTCACAGTCACAGAGCCTGCTCACCAGTGAGATCACATACCTCTCACATACACGCGTGTGCAAACACATGGGCTCCAGGACACAGCTCACATGGCCACCCAGGCACACCCTTTCTCACCCTTGCTTGTGCATTCCCTGAGCAGGCTTGCTCACGTACACAGAAGCCCATCAGCATTTCCTAAGAGATGTCTATCTTTCACTCAAAGTGATTTGGACTAACTGAAGAGCTAGTTAAAGCAGATTATCTTACTATATAACTCAAGCAAATACATGTTCCTACAGAGGTGTGATGTGACAATCTACTGATTAAGGGCAGCTAGGGTCTTTTCAAGTCAAAGGCCATATTATCTCTCTTACATAATTCACACTCGTATCATCACATTTGCTCAATTTTGTGTTGTTTCTCTTCAGAAAGTGGAACAAAGACTTAAGGTATGTGGCTCCCTGTAGTTCTATATAAATCTCATGTGGTCAATGCAGATCATGGTTCTGAGGATATCTAAAATGTCATGTAATCGGAGAGCTGTCAGGTAATGTGGAAGTTGGTTAAAAGAATTCCAACTGTATCATTAAACAGAATAAAAGCATAACAGACAGGGATTCAATGATCCCTTAAGTTCTTACAGTATTTTGGTACCATTTGGATGCATACAAAATTATTGAGGCATGAATTTATCATCTAGGAATAAAGTATTGCTTTACTGTATCTATGATCATTACATCAACTCTTGCACCTAAACCATTTTACTTAAACCTTCATAAACCTTGCTATAAGTAAAAAACCAAACCAAAACAAATGACCATAATTACCTAATACCTAATAGCAACAGTATTAGGGTTTCAAAAGAAAGTGGCCCCCTAGACCTTTGTAGAGGATGGCTCTGTCTAATGCTGGGCCTGCCCCAACGACAGTACCACCACCACCAAAAGACCCTCATCTCGCACCTACTAAGCACCAGGCATTACTGGAGGCAGTTTACTAACAGCAAGTGTATACTAACTCCTCATCCTTCCATCAGTCTTATGAAGTGTGCCCTATAATTATCCTCATTTACAATGAACTGTCCCATTACAGAGATAAGCAACTTGTCCAAGCTTCCTGGCTGGTAAGTGGCACAGAAGGAAAGGGAACTGAACTACTGAACTCAGAAAGTCAGGCTCTTAACTACTACATTTTTGCTGGCAGGTGCCGATGAGTCATGACCCATGTATAACAACAAAACCATGCCCAGGCCGGCACCATCTAGAATAATAGTGATATCAGAGCGACTATGTCAGCCCATCTCACTGAGAGTCACCCTGTGCTGCTGACCCTCAACTTGACCAAGCAGGATTGCTTCTTTTCAAGCCCTCCTGATAACATGCCCACAGTAAGCAAGACAACGTCTCACCATCCTTATTTCTAAGGAGCATTTCTAGCTTTAGGTTCTCCAACATAAATCTGTCCTGCTTTCCTGGCAGCTCATGGAATTCAATATTCTGTGATACACTGAAAGATAGAGCTGGCAGAAAAGTATTTCTGTTGACATTTTACCCTGAATGTGTGCATTACTTGTAACAAGAAGCAGCAGGAATTTGTACTCACTTTCCTAAGTGAGAAGTATTCAACATCACTTTAAGTTCAAGGACAAGGAAAGTACTAAGTGCTACAGGTCAGCTCTGGTCTCATTTTAACCAACTGTGAAGGCTGACAGGACTGGCTAGATATGAAACCTAGCAAATGAATAGTTCCCCATGATAATTTGTCATGAGTGATGACCTGGTTTAATGGAAGGACTGGGAGGACTGGGGTCCTCATCAAATAAAATGGGTGTGCTTTTAAGCTCTGCCACACTTGTGTGGCTCTGAGCAGTCACAAAGGCTACAATAAGCAAAGGTCTTGAGTTTAAGAGCAAGGTACACAGAACACCAGAACACAGAGGCTTAGTAAAAGAGAACATGGGGAAATAGTCACTGCAGAGGACCTCAGACAGCAGAGCACAGAGCTCAGAGGTGAGCCTGCAGGTTGAGGTTACCAGTGACACTTCCAAGGCGGATCAGACCTGTATGGGATGGGAATTTACCTAGAAGATAAGCGCTGATCTTCTGAGATCAGGGCATCCATGGCATCCCTCCCACATCCTACTCAGCCTTAGTGCATCCATGGCATCCCTCCCACATCCTACTCAGCCTTAGTGCTATACCCATTTTAAAGTTTATAAAACTGATGCTTTATCTCACTAACCAAAAACACAGAGAATGGATTTTACTGTCATATTGAATTCAAGCACAAAAAAGAGAAGTTAAAGGAAATCGGCCACTTTCTGAAACAATGTGTTCTTGAACGGTAGCTTCTAAGGCTGCCCTTATCCTTGAAAAATCCAGTGGGATCAGCATTGAGGATCAGCTGGCCAGCTGCACAATGACTACTGGCCTGGGTCCCAGAGAAAGGAACTTCCAAATCTCCTACAAAGCATAACTACTACGGCCTTTCTACTAATCCTCATTTTTCAATTTGAGCCAAGATTCCTGAGATTTGGTGTCTACGAAGTGGACAATTTAAAATAGTGAAGATATCGCCAACAAAAGAACTCCTATAATTCAATAATAAAAAAAGACAAGTCAATTAAAAATGAGCAAAATGCTGAACAGACAGCACTGAAAAAAAAAGATGGAAAATGCTCAGTAAACATGTGACAAGATGCTCAACATAATTAGTCACCAGGGAAATAGAAATTAGAACAATGAGGCACCAGTGCATATTCACTATGACAGTAATAATAAAATGATAGTTAACAAGAAGTATCAACAAAAATGTGGAGAAGCTGAAGCCCTCAAACACTGCTCGTGGAAATGGAAAATGATACAGTCACTTTGGAAAACAGTCTGGCAGTTTCTCAAAAGGTTACACATAGTTAGAACATCACATTTCCACCCTTGAGAAATGAAAACATGTATGTCCACACAAACATGCTGACATGTTCAAAGGAGCATTATCCTTCATTAACAAAAATTGGAAATAATCCCAATATCTATCAGTGAATGAATGGATAAACAAAATGTGATATGGATGTACAATGGAATATTTTTTACAGTTAAAAAAAGGACATACTGATATATTAGAGATGAAATTTGAAAAGATTAAAATCTAGACACACACATATACACAGGTCACATAATATATGACTCAATTAAATGAGATATCGCGATAAACCCACAGAGACAGAAAACAGCCTAAGGTTGCCAGGGACAGAGAACAGCCTGAGGACAGGGGAGGAGAGTGATTGCTAATGGGCACTGGGTTTCATTTGTAGGGTGATGAAAATGCTATGAAACCGACTGAGGTAACAGTAATATTAACAGTGGATTTATTAAAACTACTGAAATGTTGTTTATTGTTATGTGCCATCAAGTCACTTGTGACTCATAGCAAACTATGTACAACAGCCCTAGACCCTGCTCTGTCCTGTGCCAATCTTATTATCTCTGACATACCTCCTCCCATTAACCCAGTCACTGAATCAATCCACCTCATTGAGGGTCCTCCTCTCTTGCTATTTGAAAAATGGGTAAATTCTATGATACATGAATTATAAGCTTTTATTTAAAACAAACAAATGTCACCTCCCCTCTCAACAGTCCATGCACAAGCAGGAACGAAGACGGAAATCTAGGACACAGTTCAGAAACAGCCCTGGCACCCTGAGAGGAGGTATTGTACTTCAGGCAAGTACTTGCCTTGAGCCAGTTACTATCGCTCAAAATGTCAATCATCTGATTTATCTCATACAACTGAGCAATTAAACCTCAACTGTGAAAGAATATGACACAGCATCAAGCACATGATAGCACTCCATAGGGGCTAAAAGAAGAACTCTGTAGGTGGAGCTATCCTGAAAACAACAGACATCCACAAGTGTATGGAGGTTTTATACTTTCATCTATAAAATGGTATCATCAGATATCATCCATTTCCTGTTCAGGTGCTATTTCTCAAAGACTCACTTGAGCTCAGTGCCCCACTGTTTCAACGAGAAGTTAATGGGATTTGGATGCCCTGGGGCTGGTTGACTTGCAGCGTGTTCTCCCACCAGCTCTCCAGGGGCTGTTTCCATGGCTAGGACATTCCTGGCTTTTTCTGCAGAAGCGTTGGGGTGTGGGTAAATAAAATCTGAAAGAAAAGAAAGCAAGTGTGTTACTCGAACTTTCACAATCAAGTTGATTAACCATATATTATCATCTATTTTTAAAAATGTTTTATCTGTTTGCATATAATGTACACAATGTACCCTGTGTTTTAATGAATGTTGTGTGCCATCAAAATTGACAACTCACTGCGACTATAAACAACAGATCTGCACCTTGCCCTGTCCTTTGCCATCTTCATCAATTCTGACACCCTTGAGTCCACTGTTAGGAGTCATTGTGTCAATTCATCTTGTTGAGGGTCTTCTTTTTCCCTGACCTTCCACCTTTCCAAGAGGGGTGCCCTTTCCCAAGGGCTAGTCCTTCCTCACAACATGCTCAAACTACGGGAATTTAAGCTTCACTATTCTTGTCTCTAGGGTCACCCTGGCCGTGCTTTATCCAAAACAGACTTCTTTGTTCTTCTGCCAGTCCACAGGATATCGAGTACTCTTCCTCAACACCATAACGTAAAAGACACTGATTCCTCTTTCATCATCTTTAGTCATGGTCCAACTTTCAGATGCACAACAAGTAAGTGAAAAAACCATGCTTGGATCAGATGCACCCTAGGCTAAGGCACCTTGGTCTATGGCCACTGCACTCCAGACATGTCTGATCTTGTTTGATCTCAGAAGTGCAAATCAAGGTTCAGTCTGGTTAATACCTTTCAACATATTTGATCGAGTTGGATCCAACCCACAACTGACCCTCCACTAGGTTTTCAGAGGCAGTGAATTACATGGAAGGAGACTGCTCATCCTTCTGGTAGACTTGAACTACATGCCTTGGGGATTGCAGCACAACTTCGTCTTACCACTAGGCCATCAGAGCTTCCTTTTACTGTATGTTGCTGTTGTTACTGTTATGTGCCGTCGAGTCGTTTGCGACTCATCTGACACATCCATCCTGATTACCAGTCACTGAATCAATCGACCTCATAGAGGGTCTTCCCCTCCTGCGCTGTCCCTCTACCCTCCCAAGCATGATGTCCCTCTCTCCAAGGACCTGTCCCTCCTTACAACATGTCCAAAGTATGTCAGACGAAGGCCCAGAATCCTTGCCTCCAAGGAGTAGCCTGGTTAAACCCTCTCCAGGATGAATCTGTTTGTTTCCTTGGCAGTCCATGGTACCCTCAATACTCTTCTCCAGCACCACAGCTCAAAGGCATCTATCCTTCTATCCTCCCTAGTCATTGTCCAACTCTCTGATGCATAACAAGTGATTGCAAAGACCACGGCCTGTATCAGGCGCAACTTAGTCTCCAGAGAGACACCGTTGCTCTTGAGTACTTTAGAGAGGTCCCTAAGAGCAGACTTTCCCATCGTAATACCTTTTTTGATTTCCTGGCTGCTGGTGCCAAGAGTGTTGACCATGGAGCAAGCAAACTGAAGCTGTGAACAATCTCAATCTCTTTGCCATCCATCCTGATGCTATCAATTGGCCCAGTGGTGAGAATCTTTGTCTTCTTGAC